AAAAAAAAAGCTCGGCAAGTGAAAATGAGTACCTTGATCTTCTGTAAAAATTCTTCTTTTTTGATTTTGCTTAGGATGAGATCTTCACAGGATGACTTGATTAGTGTTCTGTAGAAGTTTTGCGATTGCGCTATTAATTCCGTTAATTTCAAGAGCAGCTGAGGCCTGTAAAATGTAATAAACTAGTTAAAATCGCAACAAAAATATAAAAATCATGAAGTTGTAGAACAGACACGAGGAAAACCTCAGCAGTTAAGTGTCAAGAAAGAACCAATTGGAGACGCAGCCAACCTTCCAAGAGCTGTTAACTTGATGCAAACAATTCCTTGACTAGAAACTGACGAAGCAATTGCATCAGCGCTCTTGCAAAACGTATCGGTGTTTCGATCACATTGATCCTCACATTCGTAAAAGTATGTCCTAAAATGTTGCAGCAGTAAGTCAAAATAAAAATACTTGGAATAAAGTACGCCTTAAAGAACTATTTTTGAGGAAATCGTCCCGAATTTGTAAGCAGTCTAACAAGCCGGCGAATAAGATCATTGCATAATGCGGATTCGGGAGAAATTGGCAAAAGAAGCGAAGAAAACGGAAATGGAGGGGAAAAAAATGTACCTAGCACTAACGACATCTTTACGGCGATCACCGAACTCTTTATGAACTGTGTAACGCTGCCGAGTCTGCTCCACAGTTTTCTTATCAACTACACTGTCCACTGGCTGAAATGAATCTTTCTGAAAAATGGTGCTCCGAGGTTGTTCAGAAGAAATCATAAAACACATCACTTTTTATCACTTGCAAAGTACAAAGCAGTTTTGAAAGAAAAAAATCACTTTTGAAAGCGAACTGTAAAAAAAAGAAACCTCTGTTTTCGCTTCGCCTCCGACAATCCCTTCAACAGCTTTCTTTTCGGCTTCGCTTTGTGAAATGTCCGATTCAACACTGTAATCCAAAATCGATTTAACGCCACAGCTCTGTAGCCTTATCATTGTTTCTTTCACCTTCAGAATAAATTTCTCGATTACTTCCAACCAAAAAGCAACATTTTTAAGTGAATACAAAAATATTAGGATAAGTGATAAGGGATCAGTCCAGATATCATGTGCAACAAAGATGTGTTAGGCGGCGGTCTGTGTCTGATCTTTTAACTCTAAACGCAGCGTGCGGGTAGAATTGGAAAGCAACAGCACAACTGTTCCTTCTTACTCTTTATGCTCAACGTGACAAGTTCGTAGAATACCTAGTAGTGCATCCAATAATAAGGGAAAAAGGCAAAGAGCAGGTAATCCGTCTTCATGTTTTTCGAAGAGAGTTCGCTGTAACTGACCGAATACGACATGAAATTAGGTAGCTGAGTGCTAAATTCAGTGAAAGGGTTCATGGATGCGCTGAACAGCAATGCATTTAATTAAAGGGAGTGAAAGCATAAAAATTTATCTGTTGCCCAGAACGAATGACAAAAAAAAAAAAATGAAGTGAGCTGAAGCAATAAAAAATAATAAAAGTAATGATAATTTCGAGGAGGCACACACCTCATTCAAATTTTCACCGCCGACAAAATGTCCAAAAAATGTCAGTTTGAGGAGTTTTTTGAAGATGCGTTCTCCGAGCACTCGGCGCATCCTGGCCATAATTAAATCGTTCCTTTTCACCATCATTTGTAGCGAACAGAGTGGAAGCACAACAACACCACGAAGCAACTCATATGTTCTTTTGCCCTCAAAAATAAATATCATTAGTAGAAGAGGAATTTGAAAATCTTAGAATTTTGCCTTCTTGCTTTAAAAATTTTACTCAAGCTTTGCGTTAAAAAATTTTACTGAGGCCGCTTTAAAACCATCCCCAACTATGTGCCACCTTCACACGCACGGATCGCTCTGTCTGTGTTTACAGCTGGGGGATGAAACTATGGCAGAAGCTTATTTTCCACAGGAATACTACTCCATGCATTGCTATTGCGCATGTAAATGCATATTCATGCAAGCATTTGAAAATCGATCGCTCGTACCGTCCCTAGCACTCATCCAGGTGATTAATCCAGGCCAGAAAGAGTATCAGTTTAATTGTTGTCACACCTTAAAGGCACTTTTCGTGTCTTTGAAATCCAAATCAAGCCTCTTATAGCATGTATTGATTTCATCCATATCAGGTACAGCTGTTTGCGCTGGCGTTGCTGACGAAATCATCCTGAAATATGTTTTCTTTTTCAATCGCACATGATTTGTCAGTCGGGAACTAGACAGCAGCAGAACTGCAAAACACTGTTCAGCTGCCCTATGCTATTTACGAAACATTCTCGTGTGAATCGGCCACTGAGCCAGTAATCCCTTCAGGAGATGAAAGAAACTCAACCACTAGGCGATACGGTATTGGTTTAAAGAACCGTGAAATGAATAAAGGAAATGTCATGGCTATCGGCTACACTATTGGACAGTATACATGATTCAATGGTGACCACCAACTGGTTACTGGTGATCACGCCTATATAAAATGCAAATGAAAAAAAAAAAAACTGGCCTGTAGGATAGAAATGTGAGTGACCGGAGGTTCGACACCGAATTAAAATTTGCTGGGCGCAGTAGGACGGGCATTTTAAGAAATCCGAGCAGTTGAACCGAGCTGGAATTTGAAATCGACCAAAAATACCACCAATTTTATGATTTCAAATTTGAGTACTAAAATGGGCAAGCCAATAAAAATCGCTCGTGAAAGTATCATGTGCATTAACGATGCAGCTGTCAGCATATGCAATTCCGCGCAAAGGAGAAGCTCTATTCGCTGTTAAAGTAACAGTAATAACAACAAACTTAGCAAAAAGAAATGGAACAATTTAATAATCCAAAAAGCAATACTAAAATTCGGCACGAAGTTGAGGATAAAAAGAAAGATGAAAAGAATAGAAAACAAAATTATTCACTGGAGGAGAAAATCTACAACCGAAAATTGCGTCCTTTTTTCGAGCTCCATTTGATCAATTTTAGAACTTCTGTAGCTATCTTACTGC